GGCTGGAGAAGCGGTGCGTCGGTGCGCGCCCGGGATCCGAACCCGGGCCGCCAGCAGCGGAGCGCGCGCACTTAACCGCTAAGCCACGGGGCCGGCCCTAAGATTTTTTTTAAATGAAGAAATTCTTCCAGAAATATCCAGCTCAATTAGGAAGAGTAACATAAGCATTATAGGTATCCCAGCGCGAGAACATGGGGAGAAAGGAACAGAGAGCTTATTCAAAGAAATAATAGCTGAGAACTTCCCAACCTGGGGAAGGAACTGTGTATGCACGTGCATGAAGTTAATAGAAGTCCTAATTACATCAATCCAAAAAGATCTTCTCCAAAGTATATAATGCTAAAACTGTCAAAAGTCAATGACAAAAAATATTGAGGGCAGCAGGAGAGAAGAAAATAACCTAAAAAGGAGCCCCCATCAGGCTTTCAGCAGATTTCTCAGCGGAAACCTTACAGACTAGGAGAGAGTGGAATGATATATTCAAAATACTGAAAGACATGGTGCTGGCCCGTTGATGCAGTGGTTAAGTTTGTGCACCCTGCTTCAGTGGCCCGGGGTTCACGGGTTCTGATCCCGGGCAGGGATCTACACACCACTCATCAAGCCATGCTTTTGTGGTGACCCACATACAAAATAGGGGAAGATGAGAACAGGTGTTAGCTCAGGGCCAGTCTTCCTCAAGCAAAAAGAGGAAGATTGGCAACAGATGTTAGCTCAGGGCCAATCTTCATCACCAACAAAACAAAACAAAAAATAAAAACACAAACCATCAGCTGAGAATACTCTATCCAGCAAAATTATCCTTCAGATATGACAGAGAAATAAAAGCACTCCCAGACAAAGTCTGAGGGAGTTCACTGTCACTAGACCTGCCCTACAAGAAATGTTGAAGGGAGCCCTCCTACCTGAAACAAAAAGGCAAAGGTTTACAAAGCTTTGAGCGAGGAGATAGACAAAATCAGAAAATTGCAGCTCTATATCAGCATAGGTTAGGAAATACTTAAATATAATATAAAGGATAAAGGGAAAGAAAGCATCAAAATAACTGTAAGCACTTCAGTTTAGTCACAAACAACACAAAAAAAGAATAATTTGTGACAGCAAAAACATAGAAGGGGAAGAGGCTGAGGATGGAACCTGCAAGGGCTAATGGAAATAAGAGGCTATCAGAAAAAGGACTATTTCATTTATGAGCTCTTTTATATAAACCTCATGGTAACTACAAAACAAAAAATCAGAGCAGAGTCACACATCATAAATAAAGAGAAAACCGTCACAGAAAACCACCAAACTGAAATGGCAGTCAGAAATACAAGGAAAAAGGAACAGTGGAAATACAGAACAACTGGAAAACAGATAAAATGGCAGCATTAAGCCCTCATATATCAATAATCACTAAATGTAAATGGATCGGGCGGGCCCGGTGGCTTAGCAGTTAAGTGCAGGCGCTCCGCTACTGGCAGCCCGCGTTCAGGTCCCGGATTCGCACCGACACACTGCTTCTCCAGCCATGCTGAGGCCGTGTCCCACATACAGCAACTAGAAGGATGTGCAACTATGACATAGAACTATCTACTGGGGCTTTGGGGAAGAAGAAAAAGGAGGAGGACTGGCAATAGATGTTAGCTCAGAGCTGGTCTTCCTCAGCAAAAAGAGGAGGATTAGCATGGATGTTAGCTCAGGGCTGATCTCCCTCACAAAAAATAAATAAATGAATGCATGAATGAATGGATTGAATTCACCAGTCAAAAGACAGAGTGGCTGGATGGATTAAAAAACAAGACCCAACAATACGCTGCCTCCAGGAAACACATCTCAGCTCTAAAGACAAACACAGACTCAGAGTGAACGGATGGAAGATGATACTCCAGGCGGATGGCAAGCAAAAGAAAGCAGATGTTGCCCTACTTAGACAAAGCAGACTTCAAGATAAAACAGGCAATGAGAGACAAAGATGGGCGTTATATAATGATGAAAGAGACATTCCACCAAGAAGACATAACAGTTACTAATATATATATACCTAACACAGGAGCACCAAAATATATAAAGCAACTACTAACAGAAATAAAGGGAGAAATTGACAGCAGTACAATAATAGTAGAGGACCTTAACACACCTTTTACATCAGTGGATAGCTATCCAGACAGAAAGTCAACAAGGAAACAGTGACCTTAAATGAAACACTAGAGCAAGTGGACTTAATAGATATGTATAGAACATTCCCTCCAAAAACAGGAGAATACACATTCTTCTCAAGTGCACATGGAACATTCTCAATGATAGACCACTTGT